TCGACCGAAGACACGTCAAATGCCCAAGCAGCACCACCAGTCATCATGATTGCGAAGCTCATGACGTTCAGTGTCGCCAGATTCAAAGCCTCAACGGCAATCATGCCACCCTCTGGATTTCCTTGTTTGCCCGCAGCATAGTGGCTAGGTTGATAGAATTTCGGGAAGGCGGCGAGTTGTTTGCGGGCTACAGAGCGTCGGGTAACCATTGCCGAAAATACGAAGAAGCCAGCGCCGGCGAAAAAGAGGCCGAGTTGTTTCGCGGCTCTCGATTGGAACTGTGAGGATGTTGGCTGGGCCTGTGATCGCGTCGGCCGAGTGTCGGGCGACTCATTCTGGGAAGCCATGGCGGAAGGGGAGAGTTGCGCGAGCATCGGATTATACCCCTTTCATTGAGGCTATTGTCAGACAATTCAAAACATCGTGGGATTATCGAGGTTACTCACCAAACTCAGAACCGCATCTGCCAGTTCAATTGATCGAGATGGGTATCGATTGAGTCCCTTGCGCAGTTGGTATTGAGGGACTGGGGAGGTAAAGCGGAGCTCTGGCGGGACAGACTTGGGAGCTCCTCTGAATTGGAAGTCGGGGAAAGGAAGTTCCCGCCACTAAAATTTTCGGGCCCTGTACCTGGATATGTAACAAAGCAGATTTGGTGTTTCGTTTGGTGCATAGACCTTTGCTGAGCTTACTGAGCTGTTAAGCGGGCTGTGCGCTGTGTGCATTATGTAATGAAAGTCACGTCAGGTAGGCACGTATGCCGGAACGCATCGGCTTCAGTGCCGGCCAAGGTTTACAACGGACGTTCCTTCCAGGTTACAGCGATGCTCCTGGGCTTCCATCTCATCTCCTTCTCTCCCGTCCCCCGGCGTGGTGTTTTGCTTCCACATCTTTCTCATCAGCATAATGCACCTCAAAGTCGCAGAAGAAGAAGACAATGACGCAAACGAATTCGCCTAACTCAAATTTAGAAAATTTTCTCTTGTCGACACCCTACTTACCCTCGTATCTGTATCTTGCAATTTCGCAGCATGCTGGCGACTCGTGAAATACTACCGTTCGCTACGGACGAAATGCACGTTGGCCCACAGTCAACACTACCTACACAACTTCCAGAAGCCACGCATCCAGACTCGTCAGGTACCTAGCGATTGCAACTGCAATTGCGGCAGCCAAGCCACAGCGTGGACGGCATATTAAGAAGGGCGGAAACCTCAAGATTGCGTCCGCGAAAGCCATCCGGCCTCCTCTCCGGCCTCTGCAGATGACCTGCTGGCAATCGCAGCGGTCTAATATGCTCCTTGGCGCTACGGAACAGATGGCTGCGCTAAAGCCCTTGTCGAGCAATGGCACACGGCTCTCCCCATGATTACGATGCCCAATCAGCATGGCCCGCAAGATACGACCAGTCTGCCTCCCAACCCATCTTGGGATGACAGCCCACCTTGCAACGGCTGCTCCCATCAATTGAAATCACCTGCAGATGACACGCCAGTCAGATGGCCGGATGCCTTCCCCGGGGCCTGCCCAGCTTCACTGATGGCTGCATCTGGCGAGATGCCTAGACCCCGCCGCCTATTCCACTTGTCCACTGGACACTCAAAGGCTTTCCAGCAACAAGTATCTGTGCGAGACCGTCAAAATGACAGATCAAGTGTCGTTTCTCAACTACCTGCACTTACACGCCATCGACGCCTCACGGGCCTACTTGTTTTACGACTCATGTCCCCAGCTCGGAGGCCTTCATTCGCCAACTGCAAAAACGCCTGAAGACATGCTTGTCTCGGCAGCGATCGATTGTCCGAGATCTTGATTGCTGGATCGTTGATGGATTTTGACGATTTCGTGACACGCTGTCGGTTTTTGGTTGCACCAAGCTGCTGGGTTCCCCAGCGCATGCGCGCGATGCCTGGCAAAAGGCGCCCAATGCAGGCTCGGCAAACGTCCAAACAGTAACACCAAACGCGATCCTTATCGACGACACTTCTTGTGGTTGGTCGCCCTTTAAAACCGAATTCTTCATACACCTTCCATTGTGCTGGAGACGACAAGCACTTGATCCTGCTGATACCCGATGCGATGTCACCACAGAAAACTTACAACAGTCCATTCGCTTGCGGAATACCATCTTTTGCCTAGCTCTTGACCCTTGCTTGGACAGGCCGCACCTCACGCAAGCCCGAAAGCAAGACTACCGCCGTTACGTTGTCGTCAACAGCGCTACGATGACAAGGGACTGAGTAGATTGCGATCGTGTTCTTCGTGCAGAACCAAAGCGATCCAGGTCGTAGACGGGCGCATCAGGTTGAGAATCTGCAAAATGATGAAAAGACTGGGTCGAGGCATCATGTGCTCATGGGGCGGATTACGAATGGGCACAAAGTGGGTGAAGTTATCCCATTCATGTTCGTGAGATGTGATTTCGAATTCAGTCGCAAAATGAGATGTAGCGCATTGCACAAAAGCATCGTCAGCGTGGTGCGCTGCCAATCGTCGTCTGTGGAGACTACGGCAGAGCTACCCTTCCTCAACATACCTTACTCCGTACGCTCGATTGAGGAGAACGGCGTCCCGACAGTCGGGCACCTGGTCCGACAGAACACTTCAAGACAAACAAGCCACAATCAAGTTGGATGGGAGACATGTGTTGGCTCACGGTCACTGACGAGTTCCAAATTGACCGGATTGTCTCAGGCCAAAATCAGTTCCATCCCAAGTTGAGTGTCTTCTTCATCGCCGCCAAAGAAGGATACCTGCAGTTTCACATCGTAGGGGAGACGACTTACAGCGCGAGACAACTTTCTTGCGATCAACAAGGATGAGTCCTGTTCTTCAAGGTCAAAGCGAGTGACGAGGTCAGATGTGCAGATATCAATCAGGAGGTTGGCAGGTTTCGTGACGCGACAGGCCTACGACTTGTCGGATCCTGTCATATATCACTTGTTACGAGATCTAGCGCCTCAGCCAGGAAAGGCAATAGTCACGAAGTCAGGGCCCAATTACGTCGAGGATCCAGCCAAAATTGACGCCTATCCACAGCAGAAGATTTCTCTTGGTGAATTACAGTTGCTGCCGTTGATGAGGGATTTTAGCAACGGACCAGATTTTTTCGATATGCAGTGCAGTGCAGGTGGGAATCTCCGCGATCGCCGAGGCGCGAGTTTATCGTACCTTTCGAACCTGGGGTGCCACGGTTCCTTTACCACAACACTGGGTCACGGATCAGATTGCCAGATTACATCGTGTGATTATCAGATCGATTCGATGGGCCAATGCGGCCGTGCTATGACGGCCAAGTTCAAAGTTTGCCTATCAGCCATCAACAAGTGCCGTTTGATATGCAATGAACCGATCGCCCAACGGGCCACCCCAAAGACAAGCAAACTTGTACGACGGAAGTTTCGAAGGGCGACGGGAGCAACCGCGTTGCCGAAAGTTTGCTACTAACCGTCGTGGGTCTCTCCCCATCGCACCCTACCTACTTGGTAACCGCGGCCTTTTCCCTCTCATGGGCTTTTTACGATTCAGCGTTGCGGTCAAATTTAGCAAGCTCCAGGTCGCGAGAGCCGACAGGATATGGCGCCAAAGCGACGGGACGCTGCGCACAGACTGAAATCCGACAGAGAGGAAAGGGATGCGTGCGAATCTAAGTCGTATTTGCTAGGAGCACGCCACGCTGCAGGCTTTAGTCACGAGTACCGAAGATGTCAAGGAAGACCCAGACATGGCAGAGGGGAAATGGGATTTTTGATCAATTGTCACTTTCTGATGAAAGCTACACAGAGAGACGGAGGCTGGCTGTTTGAGATATGACGAAAGGTAGGACAAGGCAGGGAGGGTTCAGGTTCAGTGGGAGGAAGAAAAGGCGATTCTCACGATCGAGCGAGACCATTGTTTAGCGCTGCCCCCCCATCGCCAGGCCCTGGTCCCGGCGGCGACTCCCCCGGGCCCCCGGAGAAGATGGGATCCACTCTGGCATGGGTCCACGGGGATCTCAGAAATGGAAGCGGCGGCGGTCGGGTAAGGCGCGGCTTCTCAGGATGGTACGCCGCACACGCCATCGAGAGCACCGTCCACACTGTGAGCCGCACACAGTACAACCACCTGGGCCACACAAGGCTACCACCTACTCTACCTTACTCCGTACCTACCAAGCGGGTGACAAAATAGGATGCCGGTCAACAAACAATTGTAGTACCTAGCTGGTTAGGTATTGTTCCCGACTTTCTTGTTCTTTTTATCATCTCTATTATATTGATTTCTTCTATTACGTTTATTCTCTGTATATTTATCAAGAAATACCCTTAAAGAAAAGAATAGAAATAGCAATAGTGAAAAGAGCAAGGGCACCTGTAAAGCGGCAAACGATTATGTCAGGATACTTAACCTTAGCGCCTGCATCATTTCAGCCCACTTTCATCCATCATGAACCACTCAACGTCAACATCTTTCTCTTTTCTTTCTGCAGAGTGCAGACTGCTGCCCACAAAGTTACATTTCTCCCTACGCACGAAACCCCCAACCTGCCGAGAGATTGGACGTCATCATCAAAGGGTTCTGCCAGCCGCCGACGAATCGCGGTTCAGTTCCCAGCATCCCTCATCCTGGTTTATCCCCGCCAGCTCTCACGTGGGTTGATCATCAGGGCTCCAACGACATCCCTCGGAGCACAAAACAAGCGCAACAACGATTTGCAGACTCGATTCGGTCGATATTCACCAGCCAATCAACCGCCTGATATACCAACCCAACCCTGTCCATCGTTTCTTGCAAAGATCAGTCTGTCGGCGTCCACCCCTCTCCCTCCTCTCTGCCACGCCACTTTGCTACATAGTAGTGGGAGCCTCAGTTGTGTCCCAGACAGCCGTCAGGAACCATAAGCCACCTGATATTACTTGGCCCGCTGCACATCATCCCGAGAAACACGTTCCATTCTTTCTGTACATACTACGGCACAGCACGAACCCTATCGGTATACCGTGGGGGATAAGCCAAACAATATGGGGAAACCCAAAAACACAAACATCGGCAAGACAAAGGCCGGCCCTGGAACTAACAATGGCGGCAACGCAAAGCTGACCACAGCCGCCTCGATTCCCGCCGCACCGCCCGCATGGCCCCAGTTCAAACCGCCGTTACCAGTTACCGACCTGGCTGCCGACCAGCTCGCTTCTTGCCCGGACAAGGTCGTCCTGATTCGCAACTTTTGGCCAAAATCCCTCTGCAGTTCCTATGTCATTTTTCTGAGGGGTTTACCGCTGATCACCACCCCTGGTCGACCTAAGCGGGGAGAGGCGGTTAGAGTGAATGACCGTTTTCAAGTGCAGGATGCCGCCTTTGCTCAACGCCTGTGGACGGAGACCGGACTGCGCGAATCGCTTGCTCAAGAAGACATTCAGGGTTTATGGTGAGTCCACTGTCTTCTGTTCCAACTCCCCTAGTCCCTACCTTACCTACCCATCCCCCGGCCCTTCGAGTGCACCCTTGCCATGAACAACGCATCCCACGCGCTTCCGGCTAGATCCGCCAGCATCTGCGCACAATCAAATACCCAAAAACAGTTATAACAAACATGAAACCCACGCAGAAGAAGAAACCGCCTGCGTGGAGGTCTTTTCGCTAAAGCTGAGGGCTTGTCATGAGACTAACATGGATCAATTGCTCTAGGGGCGGTGAAGTCGTCGGCCTGAATCCCAATATTCGCATCTATCGTTACTCCAAGGGCCAGTATTTCGATGCACATTGTAAGTCTCATAGTCAAATCATTCTCTTGTCACCCAACGCCACAGGCGCCGAGAGAACTAGGCACTATGCCAGTCAACCAACAAGATTTCCGCCGCTCTATGCAACTAGGCCAGTGGCCACGTGCTTCGAGGTCCTCGCGCGATTGCCATAGGCTGCACATATTTGTCACTGGCTGAAAGACTGCGATGTGCCAGAGCTCTACAAGCCTCTGTCTTGGGAACGTGGCCATGCTACCTACCTACCTACTTCTCATGACATCAACGAAGAGCTCTCTCCACAGCGACGCTTCTGGGCCCCTGAAGCTGGGTTGCAACGAGACCGTTGCAAAATCACTGCCCCGTCCCAGTGGATTTGCCACAATGCCCGTCACTAAGCAGATTGTACGAGGATTTGGTCATGCTCGGTTCATACGTTTCCCCCTTCCTATGACAATTACCTTCATCGACCCATTCCTGTGGACACTATCTTTTACCACGGTTCCCTTACTATCTATGCATGTCTCAACCACCGAGAATCCAAGACCCGTGTCTATGAAGCAGGTCGTGACTTTCGACTCTGCATGAGAAACCTGCTGAAAGATGTGAGCTCGGCGAACCACTGGCCTTTGAAGAGACAATTTTGGGGATCCACAACAAGTGTCTGGACCAACGATCTGCCCTTGAGATGATCATATATGATATATGATATCTTGTCTCCTCCGCTCAGTCCTCTTTTGTTTGCACTTTCCCAGTCATCACGATCTTTCATCCGAGCACCAGAGACCCAACGATTCGTCCCAGAAGCCACAACCCTGCGGATCGTTCCATCCCGATCCGCTTCATGGCGTTATCTTCCCCTTGATGAATGTGGGAAGCTGAGTCCGGGAGCCTGCGAGTCCGATCCAGCGATGCCCCTCGACATCTCGCATCTACCTATCCAAACAAGAAACTCGGCACTGAGAGAACCAGGGCCACCATGCTTCCCTTGTCTTCCGGCGACCCTATGGTGTTTTCTCTTCCGAGCTCTGACTCTTTTCTTCTGTATCCTTTCACTTGTCTTCCGTGCAGGCTTCCTCCTCATCTCCGGCTTCGAGATCGACCTGGGCTGACCATTGGACCCCCGCTTACAGACGACGATTCCAACAACGTATCACTCAACCTCGAACCCTCCTCCGGACCCGTCACGTGCAAGACAACCTGGACGCTGCTCCTCTATCTTACCTCTTCCGCCGAGGGCTGTGTTGGCGGCGAGACCGTCTTCTTTCCCAACGACCGCCGCTCCGCCAAGGAGGAGATCCCGGTCGCCCTCGAAACGGGCATGCTCCTCTTACACAAGCATGGCGACGACTGCATGCTGGTAAGTCTCTTCTGTTCAGAATTTTCAGCTCTTCAGTCCTCTGTACTTTCGAAAACTCCATGCGTCCTCCCCTGATCCCCGAACGAACCATGGTCATAGCCAGATGCACCTGAACCTGTCGCTTTTTTTGTGCAACATTGACCGTTGCCACCACGATGTATTCGTTGGCAATTCACTCTCATGTACCTTTTTTTCATTGCTTTTAGTGGCGCGAAACGAGGACCCAACCACGGCCACCTCAGCTGCGGCCTCATCTCTCCATCTCTCTGCCTCTTCCTTTCTCACGCATTCTGGCTGAGCGCCAATTCCATCACTTCAAAGTTCCCCTCCCAACCACCGAACTCCGATATGTCCACTCTGCACCACGGTACCACCTGGCAACCTGGGCAGCACAACAAAACCCCTGCATCCCTCCTGCCTACACCACCTGTTCCTTGATCTCTTTTTTTCAACCGTACCTGGTCGCAGCGAAGGCCACTGCAGACTGACACATGTTCCACTTATCAACAGCACGAGGGGCGCGAGGTCAGCGCAGGCGAGAAGTGGGTGCTGAGAACAGACCTTTGCGTCAGGAAGTGAAGAAAGAAGGGGAGTAGACAGAGAGAGGGGGGGGATTTGCGATCAGCAACCTAACCATCAAGCAACATCCTTACTCCCCTGTCTGCTTCTGCTTCTACTTCGACTTCGACTTCTTCTTCCTCACGATCCGCCTTTTTTTTGTCTTCTTCTTATGCCCGCTCGGACGTGGAGCAGACTAAAGAAGCTGAAGAGCACACGTCGTTCTCGGTTTCTTTTGTTGCTCCCCTTTTCCCCCGTCTCCTTGCCCGCCTCCCCGTTCCCCAATCCACTGCCTTGGTACCAGTCATCGCCACTGGGTTCCAAGACAATGATGAACCCCGTCCGACCACGGGATCGTGTTGCGGGATCCTACTGTTCTTCTTCCCCTTCCCCTCTTATTTGATCAGATATTGCTGGATCGTATGGAGAAGTGGGAATTATAGTGTTGCAACAACACAACACGTCTGTTGGGAAGTGGAACCACCAACACTCTCGACAGTGCGCTGGTCTCTGGGTCAAGTGATCTCGCTGTATGCATGCTGCGCCCGATTAGGTTTTGCCGTTTGATCGGCAATTGTTTTGTGGACAGACGTGGGCTGAATAGAACAGAACAGACAAGTCTGTACTCTGTAGCCGTCGTCGCCGTCGTCGTCAGGCTTGGCTAGAACATGTGGGAAGGACGTTGGAGACATGTATGTCACACAGGCCAGGCGAAGGAGAAAAGGCACGAAATACCTAGGTAGGTATGGGGGGACATTTCGTACCAGAGGATTACCGGTGGGAGAGGAGGGGGGACAATGGAGTAAATCCGATGCCCCAATCGCAACTCGACATTTCCATGCCACACTTGGTCTACATTCAGACAGTTCAGTCAGTCAGGCACCAGGAACACACTCAGTGACACGCCATCCAATTGTGAAAACGGTATTGACATCGCGTGTGCCAAGTAGATGTTCCTATCCCAAGAGTGATGACATTGACGATCCGGAAAAGCCCGTCTATACGGCCCTTCTTTCTCTTGGACATTCGTTCCCCATACCTCTCATCCTCCTACTCAAATCCTGTCCCGCCCGCCGCCGCCGCCGCCCTACCGCCCGATACTTCCTTTTTGGACTGATGTGCACGAATTCGGATTGGACGGCCACCGGGGGGAAGAGGCAGATAGTACGCGCAACCCCCTTTTTTCCCACGCTGCGCTGTGCTGCGCTGCGACGGAAGTACCCAAGGTAAGGTACGAATACCTATGTCCTTTCTGCGTGCCACTGCCATCGCGAAACCCCCTTCTATTTCCATCCATCCTCCCCTACCGCCTGATGTTTCTTCGGGGCTGTCGAAGCAATGGAACCCACCGCACATCCGGCAAACGTCCCGTCGGCTCCCCGAACGGCATCGGAAAAGGTAGGGCTACATTCCCCTTGACACCTCTTCCCCTACCTACCCCCATGAGCCCTTGAGCCCTGGCTACTTTCTTTCCCACGGCGACGCAACGCAACGTGAACCCAGCCCACATTCATTCTAAGTCGCCCGCCCGCCTACCCTCCATCGGTACGGGAAATCAAGGATCTATCCGTACTCAAGACACGAGCCGGGAACGGGACTTCACTAACCCCCCCCCCCCCCTTGGGCCGTAAAGTCACAGTGGCATTGGGGAAACGGGCGATTCGTGCGTCAAGAAGCGAACCCGATGATTGTTGTGCATCCATTGTACCTGTCTACCTATCTGTGTACGGGAAAGAAGTCAAAATGTGAAAAGAAGGGTCGGCTGACGGGGGTTGTTTCGGAAACTATCGAGGCCCAACCGTGAGACAGACAGAAAAGCCCTCGCTCTCCGTTATCGCTCCTCCTGCGGCTCCTCCGCTGTCGATGATTAATGACTCCCGTTACGGGAATGACCTGTCAAACGCCCGTGTCGCAGCAGACACAAGCCATGTTCGGCGCCTCACTATCCTCAGATCAAGGCACTCTCCATCAGTCGGTCCATGGCGTCCATGGCAGTGTCTTCCTCTTCAACGTGTATTTCTTCCTCCTGGCCAGTAGTAGCATCGCGGTCCTCGGGTAATGGTGAGACTCCGGAAGCCTCCTTCATGGTGCTCTCAAATACCTCCAATAGGTCACCATGGCGCACCACTCTGCCGTCGTCGAGATGAGTCTCCTGTTGAGCGGCCTTGGTATCTTGCTCGAATCGACGAATGGGGTGCGACCTCATGGGTACCGCCTTGGCTTCGGGGTCGACGGTAGGCTTGATCTTGACCTTGCCTGTGGCAATGCGCCCCATAATCCAGTGAAAGATCCACGGGAAGCTGATCAGGGGCATCGATTGTCGCTTGTGATCTTCGTCTTCGTACTCGTCTGCAAGCGCTGCATTGACCTCTTGCTCGGTCACTTGATACATTGCGGCCACGAAAGGGGCGAAGTCTTCGAATCGTCTGCTTCCGGCCTCTGTGTAGCAAATCTCTCGGAATCTTTGCTTGAGTGCCGCTGATTCTCGGCCAATGTCCTCTTGCTGCTTGTAGCCGTTGCCAACCCGGGGCTTCGACAGGATGAAGCCTGTCCATGCTTCGAATTCAGTGTGAATTTCGCGATGACTCATGAGACGACGCATAGCTGTGTCGTATTGATTTTTGATCTTGCGAGCCTTTTGTAGAAGTTCTCCGGGCAGTTCAAACCTTCTCAACACCCTTCCGTCGAACTTCTTGTCGTAAAGAGGATTGAGCTCCTGCTCAACAATCCTGTCGAAGATCTTGCCAAGTGCAGTCCGGGATCTGTATGTATTAAATTTGCGCATGAAGTGCGGCCACTGTTTGGGATCGAGCTCGTCAGGGTATTCTGCCGGATCTGCAGTTTTGACGTAATCTACTGCCTTGGAGTGCAGTTCTGCCAGCCTCAAGCCTAGAAAGTCGGTGTCAATTTGCATCTATTATCACTCGCAGACAATTAACTTACATTTCTTATCGTTCGCTCCTTGTTTGGACAAGTCAGCGTGAGCCAAATGTGCAGTTGCAACCTTGGCCAGGCAGTCGTTCTGAATATAACGAACGAAGAATGTTCTCAGATCTGATACCTTGACATCTCGCTTTAGTTTCGGGGCTTTGGGCGCGATGTAGTTCATAGGCTCGTGGTGCCAGTTCTTGGGAATGAGGTCTTGGTTCCAGATGACGAAGAAATCATCTCCGTCAAGGTCACCTCCGGAACACATGCTGGGGACATCTCGATCACCGGTGCTCGGAAACACCACAACATTCTGGAGGTGATGGAGTTCAGGGATATTAACCGCTTCCACAACCCGAATATCACCTGGATGAAGTGAAGGGTTTCGTCCCACAATGCAAACGCCGGTGACGCAGTAGAATTTTCCATCTTGGGGATTCGGAATTCGAAGGAAGATCTGCGGCAAGTCCTCGATGTTGTTGGTTTTCTTCCCCTCAGTTGCCTGGCTGTGGCCTCTCAACGTGCCTGTCTCATCCAGGCAACCGAGAAGAAAAGCGCTTTGATTGACGACCACGCGCGCCTTTTCCTTCAATAGCTTCATAGACCAGATCCGCCAGAGATCCAAGATTGTCAGCACGAACGGCTCTTGAATCTCTGCATCCATGAAGCCCCAGCAGACGAGGTCTTTGATGGTTAGAGATGTCATGTTCTCGTCAATGTATTGCCCCAGTAAGCTTGCAGCGGCGACTCGGTCTTTCATAGCCTTCTCATAGCCCTGGATTTGTTGTTCAGCAAGATTCAATATCGGACTGTCCTTGACACCGAGCGTCGTAAGTATGGTTATGGTTTGTCGATTCAGCGTGGCTGGAGAGAACTGCGCGAATTTAATGATTTCCAGGCCGTTGAACTGGGCCCTAAACTTTTCTTGTGAAGGTCGAATATGGACGTTAAGGCCCTTGGCGTCAGGCCAGACGGCCAGCATGCCTTTGCAGCCACCCATACGAAACTGGAAAGCAGAGGGTATCCCAACCGTATCCTGGCCCATCTCATGGACTACAATTTCGGCCAATAGCTTCGAAATTTTGCCGACACCATCGCTGAAGCAATAGCCTTGACGCTCGATATCTTGCATTTGTACGATCTGAGGAACGGTGACACCTCGGATTTCTCGCGTTGTAGAGAAGCACTGGCCGATACGAGCAGCGTATTTGGCGACATTCTTGATGTGGTTGAAATGTCCCATCCAGTCTCGAATCTGATCGCATGAAAGATGATCGGTCGGACAGAAGAAGTAGGCAGCGCACTCTCGAATTTGCGAGTTTCCGAACGCAAGGAATTCGTAAGTGCGGCTGCCAATCTTGATGCCTTGTTTCAGGGCACGGTAGATACGGTGGTGAATTTCGTTGCCTGCATCGTTGTAGATCTTGCCTCTGTACAGCTCGTCCGTGAATTGAACCCTCAAGAAGCGGTCTTGATAAGAGTTATACTTTCGCAATACCCTGTTGGAGGATTCGACGCTTGGAGAGCAAAGGTGCATGGTTGACGGTGTGACAATGACCTTTCGGATCGTGGTGCAGTAGTATGGCATACTCATGCCAGGAAAGTAAAGAGCAGCCTCTTCACTCCCAAGCATCTCCATCGGGTTCCATTCCCTTTTTCCTTGATCCGCAAAGTACTCGAGCATCCACTTCGCCCGGTCCTTGTCCATCTGACACAGTCGGTCGATGAATGCCTGGTTGATGGAGTACTCTGATAGAATGCCCCGTGAGATACAGACCTCAAGCTGGTAGTGGACCTCGAAGGGCAATTGGTGATTATCGGAATCAGGGTCAAAAGATCGCAATCGGCTTTTTGGGGCCTGAGCTCTAAACACAGTACCGAGCAGAGGAGGTCGCAAAGAGGTAGTCACGAAGTGCTCTGCAGCAATGGCCGTGATGTTGTGGGCCTCTAAAGCCTGCAGGAATTTGTCCAGAATGTCTTTTCCAGCCTTTGGGATCGCGAATCTATAAGTTGTCCAGCGACCAGTGTTGATGAAGTCAGGATCTTCGAAGTCTGACTGAAGTGTGATCGGAAAGTCTTTCGGTAGTTGATCATTGTGCAATATGACTGTGCGTCTTTCCCACATGTCCGTAATGCCCCATGAAGTCTTGCTTACAGCCATCTTGCTTCGTATCTTCCTGCTTGCCTTCGTCCAAAACATAGGTGGAAGCTCTAACGGTATCACCAGAAGTGTGTCCTCATCTCGGTCGACTCGATAAACACTAGTGAGGCGGGCGAACTCGATTCCGCACTTATGGTGAAATATCTCCTCGTCTTCGTCACCGTTCTGGTCTTCAGATGAGTCCAGAGGACAAGTATCGAAGTGGATGGTAAGCTTCTTCTTGGTCAAACTCATGTCGATGCGCACGCCCTTGTGGACGGATCTGAAAACCATCATCTCCTTCTCCTGTAAGCGCGTGCCAAAGTCCATACGTTCCGCTTCAAGTATCATCTTGGAATCGAACCAGATGTTGGGGTTCGAGGGACTCTTGATCAAATTAGAGTATCTTTCATGGAGCGCCCGGAAAGGCTGGAGGGTGACACGAGCGCTCTTGCCTCCCTTGTACAGGACCATGTGGAATCCTGACGACCAGAAGTTGACTTTAGGTGGAGGCTCAAAACGAACCAGGGCGTATCCATCGCGTTGGCCATTCTGGTTCTCTCCGATCTCTAGCAAAGAGATACTTCCATGTTGTTTGAAGGAGTCGTATAGCTCAGATAGATCAACGGCTTCAGGAAGGCCACGAACCTTCAGTTTGAAGTCCGGCCATGTTCGCCAAGGTTCATCTGCTTCTCCCATGACGCGGAATGTATGCTAGAAGCCAAGGTCAGCAGAGTTGGTTGTTATATCCCGCAAGATTCATGTTGGATATTAATATTTGAGGATGAACCATACCTTCCCGGTGTCGTGCCAGCAGCCTTGTTTTCTTGGTCTGTCGTTGTTCGCCAGGGTGAGGACGTATTTCGTAATACAGCTTTGGGCCGTGGCTATGTATTTGGATGAGTTGGCCCTCAAGGAGATAGCCGAGGCGGAGTTTCTAACATGAAGTCAGAAGAGAAGGCCGAAGTCGAAGGCTCCAAGGATGAGGTGAGTTGGAAGGGCAAAGACGGGCACGGAGGATGGGGACAAGGCTGGGGGTAAAGTCGAGGTGAGGAAGGCACCCTGAGCCCACGGTGATGAGGAAGGAGCGAAGACTGGATAATTGACTCCCTCTTTCCCCAGGTCAAACGTTCATGGATTGAGCTTTGCCTACCTAAGGCACATTAAGTTTTCGAGTTTTCTTTGCCTAAGCACTTTGTATGCAGCTACCCGCTACAATCTTCAATCTTCGCTCGATTGCCCGCCCTCATTTCATCTCCTACTCGGTTGCCTGCTTCAGACTCTGCACATAATCGTCACCGAACATTTTCTCTGATACTCAATTTAGATCTCATCTCGATTTCACCCATTATCCGGATCTCGTCGCTACTGAGCTGTCGATCCTGCGCTTCTCGTGGACTAGGACAGCAACACAACGAAGGCGTGGTTCCTGGTTAAACAAAGAATATAGTCTGCCATTCAGTTTTCATCAAGTAAGAGAACGGTATATCTCTCTGAAACCTTTTCGACCTTGAGCTGCCTGGGCATGGTCCCCTTTTCGATCGTTTCAGGCATCTAAGTAACGCATGTTGGACACCAGATCAGAGAACAATTTCTACAAGACCAACCCCAAAGACTTTCGTGATGGCGGATCTTCCATCATGTCCTTATGTAGCCCTACACGGTCATCTTTTGACGAGAACGACCCAACCCTCAGCGACACCAACTGCTCTTGGTAGCATTCCACATCAACCATATCGACCCCATACCAACGGGCCTTAGGGCTATACCGAGCAACCCTGGTTCGTCCTTGAGCCCTCGGGAATGTCCATGATCTTGCCAGGGTTCATGATCCATTTCGGATCGAGCGCGCGTTTGATCGACTTCATTACGTCGAGAGTGTCGGAGCCGACCTCAAGAAGCAGCGACTCTTTCTTGCCCCAGCCGATTGAATGCTCGCCCGTACACGTTCCATCCATATCTATTGCTCGCTTCACCATGTTGTGGACGCACTTCTCGACCTTCTCTCTCTCTTCAGGGATCGTCCGGTTATAAATGATACTTTCGTGGAAGTTACCGTCGCCGATATGGCCAAGGATACTTGCAAACAATCCCATGTCGTCCATCTCCTTCTTGCTGATTTCGATGAGATCGGCCAGACGGCTGAAGGGAACAGCGACATCCGTACTCCCTTCGCATTGTCAGCCTCAGGATTCTTATACTGGCCAAGACATAGGACAAGCTACTCACAAACTTCTTCACCGTCCTTACGAAGGGCTAACATCGACCACAGTGATTCTTTCCGGGCAGACCATAGCAATTTCTGCTCGAGAGCGTCTTTTGCGAATTCGAAATTACCGCCCTTGTGGTTCTTGGTAATCTTCTGAACGAGACCAATGTTCTCCTTGACACCGGCCTTAGTACCGGAGAACTTAAAGAACAGGGTCGGGAGTTCTTGCCAAACGCGGGGCGCTGTTGCGCCACCCAGGTTGACGACCTTCATCTGGACCTCGTCCATGATTTCCATCGCAGCTACAGGTATACCATTGCGCATGACTTCGGCTGCAGCCGCAGCAGCGTCTCTGATACTGGGGAAGGTAACCACAGCGACCGAGAAGTCTTCGGGCACAACAGTGAGCTTTAGGGTTGCTAGAAGCGGTCAGCAAATACACAAGGAAGCTAGGTTATCTGCGTGTTCCGACTCACCTTCGGTTACAAGGCCTAGTGTTCCCTCAGATCCTACGAATAGTCCGTTCAGGTTGTAGCCGGCAGAAGACTTCCTTGGCCGTCTCCGAGTCTTGACCACAGTTCCGTCTGCCAAAACAACGGTAAGATTGATCACCCAATCCTTCATGGTTCCGTATCTAACGGCGTTGGTTCCCGAGCAGTTTGTACCGATCATTCCACCAATCTTTGCGCTCGGGCCTTTTCTGCCGTCAGTCCTAGATATCTCCTTTGCGAAATATACCGCGCTGATTGTGGCTTACCGGGGTCGATGGGGAAGAAGAGACCGCTCTCCATTTTTGCCAATTTCTCGTTCAAGTCTTGCCATCCGATACTCGGCTGTACAACGATGTCCATATCATCCTTATTGAAGGAGAGAATCTGGTCCATGAAGGCAAAGTCGACGCTGATACCTCCGTAGGGTGCCGAGAAGTTTCCTTCCAGACTGGAACCACCCGAGTAAGGAATGATGGGGACGTTGTACTTGAAACATATGCGTGCAATCGTCGCCACCTGCTCTGTTGATTGCGGGTATGCAACAGCCACGGGAAGGCCGTCAGGATTGGTCGAGGACCATTCGGAATACCCATGAGCATGCAAGTCGTCGGGATCCGTGGAGATGATATCCTCACCACCCAGCTCCTTTCGAATCTCCTTCAAGGCCTACACACCAAGTTAGAAGCGGAAATCATTCTCATCATGGAATGCGAGTACCTGCTCCATTTCGGCCATGCTTGCATAAGTCACAGGGCGAGACAGGCCGTCTGTAGAAAGCAGGCCGCTACCAAGAGGAAGAAAACCAGCGGTGGCAGAGTTGCCCTTTGTCGAACTAGCAAGACCCCAGCCAACTGCACCAGCGGCTAGAGCAACAGCCCAGACTGAATTACCATGCCAACCGCTATGCGCGGTGTTGGCTGAACCTTCGGAGCTGGCGCGGGGGCTGCTTCGCCGGGCGGTCGTGACCGAAAAGCTCCGACCGGCACGGAGAGCGGGCCCAGCGAGTCGGCTCCTCAAGCCATGGCTCAGAAGGGGCCTCGCAGAGAGTTTGGCCGACATGCAGGGGATGAGGGCCATCTACACGAACACAAATCGGATTCCTCGAGGAGAAAGTCTGCTATTGGCCAAGAGGTCGACCAGGGTAAGATGCTGGAATCGACAGGGTTTAGTGGTGGGTTGCGTCGGCGAGATGGCTTGCGTCGGCGTTCGAGGTTGATATCGGCCTGCGCTGCTTCTGATTTTGTGCTGGGAACTTCGAATCAAACTGTGAGTTGTAAAAAGGGATTCTGAATTTCCTGAGTATAGGACGATGCAAAAGCCGAATATCGATTTGTCAAATGACGACGATACAGAGGTCTACCGAATGGCCCTTTGCCAAAAGCGTCCAGGTATAGCGCGAAAACGAGTCCGTGGCAACCAAAGTTGGGACGGCGAACCTGGCGAAAAGAGGAAGACGATGTGTTTATACTCAGGAAGCGAGCGAAATCGTCGACCACATATCCCAATATACAGCCAATGTCGCAATCGCCCACGAAGCAAGCTAAGAAGCTGAGTGTTGGGGCAAGTGGGTATGGTGGATGACAACGGGGCTCTTCGCCTTTAACAACGATGCCTCTGCTCTTTTTTTGTGGAAGAAGTTGAGAGCATGACCTGGACGTCAAGTACCTGGGCGTACCGCATCCCACATTGGGAACAAGGTGCAGACAAGGCAGATGGAGTGGGTGCAGAGACGACGTTCTTGCAACCAATCATAACACTGGAGAAGGGGAATACAGGCCCAAAAAGTCAAGAAGTCAAGAGCCGGCGGGCTAGGAAGACGAAAGCATGGCTAGCGAGTGAGCAAAGGTGGTAGCCCTGAGTTGTCAGCTGGGGGTGAGACTCTGCACTTTTCCACGATGAGGTACTTTGCAATACCTCGCTTCACTAGCACCAGTCCAGGCAAGCTTTCCGTGTGGAGCGGCGAGCTTGGATTTGCCATGTTGCTGCTACTCCGTAGAGACACAACAAAGAGGACGACATCGGGCCTGGATCCGGGGACAGGCGGGGAAGATGCCGAAGCTGAAACAATCCGAAGTCGTCGATGTTCTCGGTGAACGGTATGTTTCCCCGCGAAGCGACACGACGAAGATAGACGAACAGATTCGATGCGGATTTGCGACCTGTCTGGGCATGGTATAGCTCAGCGTTTCTCGGCGACGCTGGGTGACGGCTTGAAAATCAACTAATCGGCAACAGAAACAGGGCCATCGGAGTTGACGCGGGAAAGAAGGCCGGCTTCGAAGGTCTGACTGAGCATGGACAGAAGTTCGGTAATGGACGAAGGTAGAGCCTTTCACGTCATCAGTAGGAAATGATGCTGGGTTGTGATGCAGGTGTGACCCCCGTTTCGTGGGGTGGCTCAAGCTACGATGGATGGGGGGCAGCAACAACCTTCCGCAGTTGGTCTACTGGAAGTCTGATTACCAACAGCATCCCACCCTTTGAGTTGGACTTCTCACCGACGTAATCGAATTTCGCGGCAATGGTAGCCGCAAATCACTACGGGCAAGCAAATCGAATGTCGAGTTCGGAAGGCTGACGGACCTCGTGTCCGAAGATTGCCCTGCTGCCCTTGAGTTGTACGACGGTGAGACGGGGCAAGACAAGACTGATGAAGCCTGCCAGACTCGAAATGCCACTGACGAAGAGACTGCAGGCGAACTGGCGTACCCCCGACGGAGAGCATGGGTACAGGGGGCCGAGAAATTTTCAATCTCTTCCCATGACCACGATTTCCAGCCTCTTGTGAGCGACAAAAGGGCCCTGATTTCTGACGAACCCCCGCGCAACGGCCTGGTCGGTGTAGAGTCCGCAGTGGGTCTCGCACGAGGGGTAACGGTGGCCCACGGTGACCGCCGAGGACGCAGGCCGTTGGCCTCCGGGGCCAGCCAAACAAGACGTTCGTGAGGGTGCCGCTTGCCGGCTGGTACATGCTTTCTCGCCTGTGGATATGAATGCAGGCTCCTGATTCTGAGTATCCTCTCACAGAGACCATCCACTGCGAGGTCGCACTCGCCTGGTGGACCAAGGGCATGCACGGGGTTTGAGATTCTTCTAGAGGAAACTGTGCAAAGAGGAGTGTTCCGAGACGAGGACCTTGGGTGCTGGCTGTCCCACCTACTGAATGTGCCCCGGAAGTCCGTTCCCGATGACAGCGCCGACACGGAGGTTTTCCGAGGTCAAGATAACAGAACCCACAGTAGGTAGACACCTATGCGACCAAGCAGTCAAGCAAAGCAGCTCAGCCTGTCGTTCCATCTGCAGCAGATGACATTTCTGTCGTCTGACCCTCAGAAGACAGGTTGACATAAGCTCAACGGTTTCTTGAGCTCTCGTCACGGGCGGAGGTGGTAAGCAATTACATTGACCCTGACAACCACCTACGCTAGTACTTTTCATTAGAAGACGCCGTCATCCAGAATTTGAGTTATGTCAGCGATGCATCCGAGGTGCGTACCCCAGACCGAACGTCACACGCGACGAGACTCCGGCTTTGTGGAACCATTGCACTCTCCCATAACAAATTCAACATCCTGTTCTCTTACAAGCAAGACGGCGGTATAGGTATTAATTACGAAAAGGGACTCTCATCCCCAAGGTGTGCGGCTTCCCATGACAAACCGCCACTCTTCCAACGCCCGCTCAGCCCTCCTGTCGACCATCCCAAAGGATTTTCAGTGCATCAGTAGATGCGTACCTCCCACGCCGCAAGCCTGCAACGCAACCCCCCTTGCTGCTAGCCATGCGACCCCAACAATCGATGAGATTCGATCATCGGTCTACCTAGATCAAGGTAGCCTGGATGCTGCATGGACTTCCAGGTACTCAGGCTAGGATCGGAAGTCGGATGCTCCAAGCCAGGAAGGCCGCTCGCAGGGCTTTCCTTCTCGTCATTCCTCTACTTGGGAGTCAATTGGTATCACAGAGCCCGTCTCATGGTCCGAAGCCGGGTGATTATCAGCGGCATTCAGCAGTGGCATGACAGCATCGGACTCTCAGCTAAGAACGTTTACCTGCTCTGATGGATTAGATCAATGTAAACGCGCCATGGTAATTCTAACCCTGGCTGGAGCTGTGACCAACCACGAAAACGCATGACTGCCTTACCTACTTGATGGTCCACATGTCATGGTGTCTCCGTAGCGCGTACAAACATGCGGATTCTAGAACAAAGCAGAGAAACAACGTCCTGATCCTGTGCCCGGGGGAACTGCATCGTATCCCCCGCATGCCCCCGACTGGTTGCCTGTGTCTCACATTCGGCGGCAAAGTTCGCCGGAAGGCATGTCGTTCGCTGCCTCCTGGTTGGTGGTGTTCTTTCGTCTGTTCTCTTGCCGAAGCCTGACCGGGCGTGTGAGGGGTCCCCCCATTGAACGAAACATAGCAGGATAGCTTTTCCGTTAACGCCGCTTATGCCTTCTTCTGAACCTTTAACGTATTCTACTAGGCTTATTGTCAGAGTGCCAATGTATTTTGGAGATTGCCGCCAGATTCTTGAGGGACTTGCGTTTCCTCAACCGCCCGGCGTAGTAGGCTGGTAGCACATCGGCTCCAAGGCCAGACTCTGCTGGTGGGTTCTGGCAGTGCGGGTGTTGCAGCGGGGTTGAGTGACCACAATGGCGGGGGGATGTTCCACCTCCACAAACGCAAGTTTTGACAACGAGAAGTTAGTAGCCGAGAGATACTGCGGATGCTTCAGTGCCCTTCAGGCCAAGTTATGCAGAGTTCAAGACGTCAGACATTTTTATTATTATCCGTAAAGTCAGACTTCTATGGGCGAAAAAAAAAAAACGTTGAGAGACAAGGTTGAGTTGCCCACCTCCCAAAATACAAACTGCCAAACCGTGTCCGAAGGAGGATTTGGGATTCGCTGTATTGTTTTCTTTCTTCTCCTTCTCAGGTACAAGCCAAGCCACCTTGTTGGAAATGCTTCGCCTCTCGGGCTTGCGAACACGATTGTGAGTTGTGACGAAATCTCCATAAAGCACTCAGTTCACCATTGCTGTACCTAGTTGTCGGACAGCCTTTTTTTTACCCCGGAATCAGGATCAGGGCCAAAAATCGGGATATCGGAATTTTCAGCGAGGACGAGACTCTCGCATTCCCCTCCCCCCCCCCTCCTCGTGGAGAGTTATGCCGTATTACTCCTTCCACAATAAGAAACGCAAAGGCATTGCCCCCCTTTCGTAATACAATGACCAATCGATTTGGGGGGCGTACGGTGAGAAAATCCCACCGGGGTAGACGACACTACCCAGCTACCCTACCATCCTAGTATCCTTATGCCTGGGGAAATGGTTCCCCCTCCTCGCCTCCCCCACAGTCGCCCACAGCAGGTATGAAATAGACACACAACCACACCTCAGAGGACGAGAGTATGTGTTGAGAAAGCTGCAAAGTATCTATGTCCAAACGATCTCGTGGCTGTAGGCCAAACGCGGACTGCCGGGTGAGCCTGCGTCATACAAGCATGCAGCAGAGGGCACGAGACCAGACACCTGCTATACGGTGGTGGTTTTCCGTGTGTGCTTAGTGGTCAACTGGTTATGGGCCCTTGGGAACTTGGCAATGTAACTGCGGCCCTTTTCTGTCCTTCGCTCTCTCTGGCTCTTCTTCTCGCGGTTGTGTGCCTTGATGAAGTACCACACGCGCTTCCTTTTCCTTGGGAGTTGGGCATGGGGGGGGGGGGGAAGGCTGGATGGTAAGGTGAGATTCAGAGGGCAGGTATATGCTAGGGGATGGATGGTCTATGGCCGATGGCGTCGAGGTGATGTTGCTAGTGGGAGGCTTTATGGGGGGCTCATGACTGCTGGGCTGGCATATGGTCTCTCCAGGGTTAAGCTACATGGAAAGAGCCCCCACTGGCTTCCCATGAGGACTTTGCGAAAGTAAATACATCGAATCATGTTGTGTAACTCGTGGACTAGCACGCTAGTCACAATGGATGTCAAGTTACGTTAAATGTCAAGAGTTGAGAAGCCCGTGTTGTACGGTTTTTACTCCAGTGTGGCCAGTCCTGAACCAAGAGACATAAGAAAAATTAAGCAGCGTACAACAATACGACAGAGTGTAATAGTACGTGATTACGTCGTAGTCTCCCAGGTGAGGTAGGATACGATGGTTTTCACAAGACAACATCACGAGCGAAGTATGTGGGAACTCAAGATTGGGCGGAAGAGTGACCTTCAATGGCTTGGTATTGGCCGCAGCTATCTGCAGGGTAGTCAAAGCCGACAACTCTAAAATCAGCCCTAGACTCCGTAATTTTTTTGATCATGCTCAATCCCATTTGCCCGACCCAAATAACCGTTTCCGTCCCCGGAAGAGACATTCACGAAAGTGTGTAGCAATGCAGCCGAGGCGTCACCTTTCGGAGCAACCTGACTGCAGCACACGCAGCAGACTCATGCGCGACCTTCATCATTTCGTAGAAGAGGAAGACGACAAGACGCTTAGTTGCCGGCGAGGGCGTTGGCGCGACGGCGGTCACGCTCCTCGGCGATGGAGAGCTTGACACCCTTGCCCTTGGGCAGGGAGATCCAGGGCTTCTCGGAGCCGATGACGAAGACGTTGGACTCACGGGTGGCGAAGGTGTTGTCAATGGCGTCCTTGATGTGGACAATGTTGAAACCTCCGTCGTGGCGCTCACGGTGGGTGATGACACCGACACGACCCATGTTGCGACCACCGGTGACCATGGCAATGGAGCCGGTGTCGAACTTGATGAAGTCCTCAATCTTGCCGGTGGCAAGGTTGATCTTGACGGTGTCGTTGACCTTGACGAGGGGGTCAGGGTAGCGGATGCTGCAAAGATGAAGAGTCAGCAAAGGGGGTTCGGATGGGGTGATACATTACAGCCGTCGGATATGTATAGCTCCAATCTCTTTTCTTCGTAATCGGCCAATATTCTTCTTTTTGACGTTGCAATTCCGCCTCCCTCCCACTTCGAAAGGGAAGGGGATTTGTATGATTGGGAAGTCTTATTCCAGGAATTGAACAAGAGAGCATTTTGGGTGATGACGAATCGACCAAAGCTTGATCCAACGGCTGAATGATGTCTGACAGAACCAGTGCAGAGTGTGCAAACTCACGTTCTCGCATCGTGCGTGACCAAGAATGGGATTCCACCGCGGCCAAGCTGAACGCGCTTGACCTTGCCGAGCTTGTACTCGGCCTCCTCGGCCTGGATGCGGTGGACGGTGAAGCGGCCCTTGGTGTCGTAGATGAGACGGAAGTTCTCGCCAGTCTTGTCGATGGTGATGACGTCCATGAAGCCGGCGGGGTAGGTCATGTCGGTGCGGACCTTGCCGTCGACCTTGATGAGGCGCTGCATGAGGATGGAGCGGGTCTCGCGGAAGTTGAGGGCGTACTTGAGGCGGTTGCGGAGGAAGACAATCAGCGGCAAGCAGTCGCGAAGCTTGTGAGGACCGGCCGAGGGGCGGGGAGCGTAGGTTCCGGACAGCTTGTCCAGGAGCCAGTGCGAAGGCGCGCTAAGGCGCTTCTGGTGCTTCTTGCTGTGAGGGCATTGTCAGAATATTTGTTCGCATCGAGGGTACGCTCCATCATGATCTCGAATATTGTCGTCGGGAATTTTCTTCAATTCGTCGCGGCGGGCAAGTCAAACTCGCTCGAGCGAGGAACAAAAAACCGAATCGCACCGACGACGACATTGAATTGGATAATGAGGATTGGGTATCAAGCACTTACAGTCCCTTGCCCATTTTGTCTGACTGCCGATTAGTCTATGGGGGTATCTGGTCGGTGGGTGTGAAGGTCGAAGTCGAGATACTCAGATTCAACTCGGGACGTGGAGTACAGAGGGATCGGGCTGGAAATTTTCTGTGAGGCGTAGGTTTTTCGAACCCTACACTTGTGTCTCTGGGCGGTCAAAAGGAGGGGCGGGGCTTCGATAATCCGGCGACAGTCAGTGGTCAACTTGATTAAGCGAGATGGTCCGTGTTCCTGGTCCACTTGGCTCTCGTGCTCCATTGATTCGGCGGTTGGTGGGTCCCGTCCACGGCCGGCGCATGGCAACACGGGCTTGACGGGCACGACGGGCAAGATCGATGACAGCGGCCCCACCAGAAGCACAATAATGGTATCTCTTCTCCGAGACCATGCAAACTCCATCATTGGCAAGTCAGGACGTGGGGGATTCCGGGTTCATAGTATGCACCGGTCGTGTGCACTGTATTCAATACAATCATCTAGCGATTGGTGCTTTCTAGCTCACAGTGCCCAGATAGCCTCTCCGGAACACTAACTCGTTCTTGTGCAGAAACGACGGTAGTCCATCTAACTCACTCCCAAACCCGTTTTGTCCATCCTTGGCCAAAGATATCTGATTATGCGCCGTATCTCCCAAATGTGAATACGGAAAACCAGTTGGTATAAGTTCACGTCCAGAAACGACCGTTCGGGCAGCGAAGCACCCCATTTCTCCATGTACGCCACGTAAGCAAACAATACGCAGCACTTTTGATTCTAATGTTCGATACAAAATCCTGCACACAAGGCAACAGGTCGCTACCTAGCAAGGGTGCTAGGCCGCTGAAAAGACGCAGCAGGACGAAGATCCAGCTGGCGAAGGGCTGTTGAGATTTCAACACCCAGTGATACGCTATGGTGACGTCGATTCAGACGTCTGATCGGGTGCGTATATCGCGGTTGAGCTGGCGACCTGTGAGTCGTCCAGCAGTAGGCGAGAGATGTCCATCTCCCCTGCACTTCCCATGAATGTCGCCGTGCTGGTTTCACCAAAGTCGAAGGCCTGCTGACTGGCAGGCAGTTCTCCATTGTCAATGACAGACAGAGGCCACCTGGGGAGGTCCTCCTTGGAGTTGGTTCTGTTCAATGCTGCTTCCATGGGAGGCGGCCTGTTGGGCTGTAGAGTATTCGAAATGCTCATGCTAACCGTTGGTTCGAGTGTATCGCCCCCTCGCCCATCCTGGGGCTGGAATAATCCCTTCTCAATCTTGGCATAAACGCTGGGGTACTTGTTCCGAACCCTGTCTCTTAGGTCGGTCGGTTGTCTTCCTGACAGACTAAAGCGTGGGTCTCTCTGGATCTTGGTCCAAGCTGGTCCATATTTGTCCAACCCTTCAAGTATTTGCTTGTCGTCTTGGTCGGTAAAAGGTCGTCTTTCTCTTCTGTGAGACTTCTTGAATGGGCCGTGTATTCCTAGCTCCGCTAAATCCTCCAGCTTCTTGCGGTGCGCCCTACTCCTCTTCATCTTAGGAAAGGCGTCTAAATCAGCCTGTGTCATCTGGGACTGTTCGCTGGCTGCAGTCTCATCTTGGGCTATGAGTATGTTTTCAGATAGCAGACCCGTTTTCGCTCTGGCCTTTGGTTCGGTTGGAGTCGTCGGCGGCGCGACAGCAGCAGTTGTAATCTTCGGTTCGCTATTAGTCCTGCGCAACTCGTTCGGGCAGCAGGTGCGAAAGCGGTCCTTCAAGTCACCCGCAGTCCGGTCATTGAAGTTGAAGTCGGGGTCTGCTAGGATATCGGTCCACTTTCCAACACCGTGACGATTGACACCCAACAGTAGGTGGTTTGTCTCAGCTTCGGACCACTTCCGCCTGGGCTTCATCGCCTTCTTCCTTGTTTTGCCCCCACTAGATTTCGAGTTCTTGGATGTTGTCGAGTCAGCCTCGGCGGGCTTTTCAACCTCAATTTCCATATCCTTCTCTTCGGGCACAGGAGCGAAATCTCGAAGCGGCTTGAGCTGGTTGCTTTCGGGCTCGTTGAAGTCGTTGGAGGCAATGGGCGGGAACAGCGCGGCGTCGGGAGGAGGTTCGTGTAAGCCATTGATAATGGGCGGCATAGTCGGCATGACCTGGGGTTGAATTGGCTTTTGTTTCTTGACAGGCTGTGGTAGCTGCACGAAATCGTCCTTGGTGGCAACGTTTCGGTGCCTCTTCTTATTTGCAGAATCATCTTTGTTTTCGGGCACCTCATCGAGGATCTTGCTAAGAGAAAAGGAGGAGTCTGCATTATCTCGGTCCTCGCCCAAGAGCAGTCTCAATTGCAGGTGCGCGGTGCTGTTGACTGCTCCCCGGTCGATTGGTGCTTCGTCATCCTTTCGTGAATCTCGTGCGGAGAAGCTGTCGTCGAGGGTGCCGGCATTCTGTGGTGGGGCTCCATGGGTGGTGGCGAGCGAGGGCCCTTTGGTGTTTTCCTCGCGATGGGTGGTCTCAGGCTCAAGTGGGAAGGGCCTCTCGGAGGGACGAGAGAAGGCTAGACGGAGGGGCGGCAGATCAGCGTGAGCGAGCTGTGGCGTGGTGGAATCGTTCAGCAGGTGGATGAGGCGTGGCTCGATGTAGGCCATCGTGGGCTAGGAAAGTCGGAGTGGGCATTTGGTTCAAAATTTGAGGTAGGAAACAACACAGACGAAGAGAAGAGGAGTGAAGGGGAGAGGCGAAGGAAAGAAGGAGAGACAATGGACGCGGGATGGATGGGTGTAAGGTCGGCGGCGTGCGGGCAGGATGGTGAGGAGTAGGAGGAGGAGGAGGAAGAGGAGGAAGAGGAGGAGAAGAAGACAAGACTTGAACTCGAGTCTTCAACGAGTTTGCTCAGGTAGCAAAGACTGGCAGTGACTGAGGTGACCGAACGGCGGAGGGGAGCATTAGGAATGGAAAGCGGGAGGTAAGGTAGGTAAGGGTATCAGTAAAGTAAAGCGTGAAGCAGCTAAGGATTGGCTTGCAGCATTTCAGGGCCCGGTCTGACAGGCAGAAGGGCTCACCACAGGCACCGTGGCTGCAGGGCTCCTCCTAGAAGATTTGCCCAACGATGGAAGTTCCACGTGAAGATTCTCCACCGTAGAAGCGGCAAATGAGACTAGCGCGGTTGGGTTTGCGGTATTTGCTGATACCGACCAGCGGCGGCGGCGGGTGTGCCAAGTAACTTTAATACTTTGTGATTATCATTGGCTGCTGCCCAGCGAAAGCCCGTTTCTTCTTCTCCGCGCCGGCACGCAGCTTTCTCTATCAGTCCCGGTCTCTTTGCCTCTCTCTTCAATACATGTCATGACAATACACATGTCATGGCGGTACCTTATAGGTGGTGGAAGATAGGTACCTTGATGCCTCAAGACCAGGCAAACAGCAGGTCCATTTGCCCTATGAAAGTACTGAGGAAGGACGAAAGAATGGATGGCTGCCCAACTTTAGCAAAGAAAATCTGCCACCAGGCAATGGGTTGATTAACCTTGACAGACATTGGCAAGACTGGCAAGGCACTGACTGGATGGCTCACCGTGCACACCTCTCGTCCCACCTTAGGTTCACTGGTTGATGGATCTCCCTTTCCCTGAGCCTGAATTGGGTCCTGCCAGCCTGCGTAAACTGCGTAGCTTCAACCCAACTCGGTGCGAAGACGGCAACCTTAGAGGCATCTCCTCCCATAGCACCACTGGCACCTGTGCTACAGTTTCCATGGTCTAGTTGCTTACTATTATCCCGTACGGCATCCGTCCAGTGTACCTTACCTCATGTACCCAAGACATGTCTCTCGCTCCAGTTTACAGCCGCCCGTGGTCTCCGCCTCCGCGTCCGCCTCTCCGAATTCTTGCATGACACATTACAGTGACCACCACACCACACAACCCTCCACCGAGCTGAAAGAACGTCTCACAGCTTCTCGGTCTGATCATTTGCGTTGCCTGCTGCCCCTCCCTATCTTTATTCGCCATCTTCGGACCCCATTCTGGCCGCGAAATTCTGCCTGCCCTACCTGCCTGTCAACCACCCTTCCGTCTTCGAGAAAACACCTGTCCCTTCCAAAGAACATCAGCAAGGGTTCGGTGACTACCTTTGTTGTTGCACCGCTTTCAATCCCCCCTCCATCCCACTTCTCACTAGCTGACCGGTACCAACGGCCCCTAATCTCATCATGGCGGCGGCTGCGGCTCTTCCAACCTTCCCACGACTGGTCTTCACCGTCTTCGAGCCCATCTCACTGTACGTTTACACACACACTCTCTCTCTCTCGCCACCCTGACAATTCAATCCCCACCCGCCACTGAGCTGATGCGTTTTGTCTCAAAAGCGTCGGCGGTTTCCTAGGCGCCGTTATCAACCCGGATTGGTTCATATCCGAGCAGATCGTGCAGGGCGCCATCTCGGCCGCCGTGCCAACTCCGGAATCTGATAATGCCCGTCTCGTGGCCCTCCAGCTCGGAAACATCTACCTGCTCATGGCCATGGTCGGGCTAGCCGTGCTCAACCTCACCAACGAGCTGAAAGTTGTGCGCGGTTATCTCGTTGCTCTTTGGATAGCCGACCTTGGTCACATTTACGTATGCTACCATGTTATGGGCCTCGATCGCTTCCTCGACGTGGCGAGCTGGAACTCCATGGCCTGGGGCAACGTGGGAGTCACGGTGCGACCACCCTTCCCGTTCAACCTATAATATTGTGCTAACTATCCTAGGCCCTTCTCTGTCTGACCAGGACGGCTTACCTTTTAGGCCTCTTCGGAAAGGATGCTCCTCTCAAGAACTCGGAGAAGAAGCAGCAATGAGAGGATCTGCAAGCCAGACTCTCTCCAAACAGATCGGGCCTCTCCAATAACCGTGGCCTCAAGCGAGCGTCCTCACTCGAGCCTGTTCGAACAATCCATACTGCCTTCAAATGTTAATAGCGCTTTTCTGTCTCATGCTCATTTAGTCCCGGTAGAATTTTCCGAACTCATGAGATTCAATTGGGAGAAGCGCAAAGAGTGATTTCAATCACTGTGCTGCTGTGCTTGCCTGTAGTCGAGAGGCAGAGCCCACTTATACGGCCGTTCGTCGCCACATGAGCTCCCAATCACAACCAAAGGGTCTAAAACATGCAACACCAGTACCCTCACAATCGTACAATTATCAGACAAAGCTGTAAGAGAATACATCGGAGAAGAGCTATGTGTCATGAAATTCATCAAGACATATTGAGGTGAGGCACGCCGGCTGGCGGCTTAGCTAAAAAGTTGACATAGGTAGGCAGTATGTGTGCGCAGCTGCTAGTGCCCGAACAGGCATGCGCAAATAAAGCCAATCCCTCGCTACCAGACACAAATAGCCGAACAACGCCAGAAAAGTCTCATCAAATGGCAATTGGTAGGTTGAGACTTCTTCCAGTGAGACCAAAGTTTGACACTGAAGACTTGCACTTCGTGGTGAAACCGCAGTTCTTTCATCGTACCCTACCCTAGATCATGCCTAGAGTGGTCGTGCGTGGTGACGTGAAGCAATAGGAACTCCATAGGACCTTCTTTCAAGGAATTTATGTGAGGGTCTACCAGATGATAAGGTACCATGGCACAACTCTTCTTTCCTCGATTAAACCAATAAAACAGATGTGTATGTTGGAGAGAGGGTGCTTAAACCTTGTTATTCCCATTAAAGAGGCGACGCGGTTGCCCGCGCATGGACACCTAAGGCAACCAGAGCACAGTGTGAATGCGTTAAGCCCCACGCCTCGATCAACATACACCAATCCGATCATCGTCGGGGTTAGGGTTAGAGAATCCGGTTAGTAAGAAACTCAATATCCCTACCCAACCCCAACAAAATACGCGTCTTTGCAGCAATCCCAGTCATTCCAGGAACAACAGAACGAGTCAAACAACATGGCCCGCACAAGAACGGGCCGCGGTGCTCCGGAGTCTCCGGAAAATAATGGCCAAGATGCTCGTTCTGCGCGGTTGACACGACGTCGTGCAGGTGGCACAAACATGACGGAACGCGTCGAAACCACCATCACCGTTGCTACTGCTGCCGCTGCTTCTTCTTCTGCTGCTGCATCTCGGCCAACGACGCGAGGTAGGGGAAGAGATAAGGTCGTCCCGACGAGCACCACGTTGCGAGAGATGGCGGAAGAAAGGGAAGAAGGGGAGGAGGACGTGGAAAAGAGGGAAGAGGAAGATCTGTACAGAAACGAACCAGTCGCACGTTTCAATGCGAAAGAGATTGTGCGAGACATCAATCCCCAAGATAACGACAGTGGTGAGTCCCGGTCATGTGTGTTCTCAATGGGCCATCTGTAGTCCAAGGTTAACAACCGCCCTAGAAATGGGATCGCAGAGCATCTCCGGCACACAGAGATATGCGACACCGGCCTACATGACTGCTGCGTACACGTTGTTTTCAAGTCTGTCAACACTGCGCTATCTCCCTTGCAAGAAGACGTTGTGCTAATCCTCCCATAGAAGCACCGGGCTCATCTGCACCGAGAGCTTCACAAGGTGCGACCCGCGCCTTGCACGTTTGGGCGATGATTTGCTGACATAGAGACACAAAAGGCCGCGTACAGTTACCGGGAATAGAGGACAACGGCAGCGACGACGAGTCAGAGAAGTCCGAAGGCGAAGATGACGCATCCCAGGACCTCGTCGAAGCAGAACTAAAGGAGAACGCCCTCGACTCACTATGGCACGAATCCGAAGCCCTGGCGAGGCTGCTCCGGAACCCAAAGCCAGGCAGCAAGTCCTGGGGCCGGCTGCTGCCCGTCTTCCGGGGCAACTGGTTCCGCATCCGCGAGTTCTTCGTGGAGACCGACGCGCTCTTCATCGACCTCCTCGCCAGCATCGAGGACATTAGCGAAAGGCAGCAGATGAAGGCGCGGGCCGTCATCATCGGCGCCAACGCCACGTCGCTGCTCAACGTCATATCGGACGCCGAGCTCCGCAAGGAGGACAACTTTGATAGGGTCTGGAAGATCTTCGAGCGCCTTGACGAGGACTTTCCCGCGCCGCTGTGCCCGTACGACGACTACGCCGACCACGTCACCGAAGACGATATCGAGCTCGCGCTCGACATTCGCACGCAGCGACTGATTACGAGCCTGAAGGCCTTGACGGATGACCAACAGAATCCTGCCGACATTGCGGCGGAGCTTTTCTGCTTGCCTCTAGAGGCTTCTGTCGATGCGGAAGAGGCCCTTCAGTATGGACCTTTCAGGGGCATCAACGGCCGCATGGCGGAGCGTTTCGCAGAGAGGGCAAAGCTGATTTACGATGCCATCGTGGACAAGAGCGTGGATGATGCCATTCAGGTTCTCGACGAGATGTTCCCGCTCGAGGGGTCGCCTGATCAGTCACAAAGCGAAGCCGACGAGCCGATCGACTTCATCAGCAAAATTTCCTTCTGGTGCAGCAAGATGATAGACGAGCTCAGTGTTATTCTGAAGGACCCGCCGCAAGGGCCGAGGGAGTCTTCTCCGACGGACTCCCTCCCCTCAAGCGCTCCACAGGATATAGTGCGCAACGACGTGTATGGCCTCCTCCAGACGCTGTCTATATGCAATCCATATACTGACTCGACTACAGACGCGAAGACATCTTGTCCCGATCAAATGTGCAACTCCTAGCAAAGCTCTCCCGCGAGAATCCCTCGCGCACACGCCCATCTCCATCACTGGCAAACTCCCAGCGCGGATCCCAACGAGGATCCCAGCGCGGGGCTACGGACGAACCCATCATCAACGGAGGCATCGGCGACGACTACTACGATGAAGAAGCAGAGGACCGTCGCCGCAACCCCTCCCCGGCGCTGAGCGACCTCTCAGCCATCATCGCAGGCCTCCCCAGCACCGCAATCATCCGAAGCACGCAACCGTCTTCGTCCTCCGCCAAAGCCGGCCCCCCACGCTCCTCCGACTTCACCGCCGTCAATAACAACAGCAGGAAACGCCCCCGCGAAGCCTCCCTCTCCCACTCCCAACAATCCCAAGAGTCCGACGACCCGTTCGAAGAAGACAACCGCGACCCGAACCCCCAACGAAGAGCCCAACTCGCCCGCGACCGCCGCGACATGCCCCCTCCCCCCGCGAAACGCAAAACTCTCCCCTCCACCGCGCCACCACCACCTCGACAGCCCCCTTCCCCCTCCTCGTCGTCATCAACAACAACAACCTCCCTCCAACGACGCCCCCGATCCTCCCTCCCAACCGGCGCCCCAGCCTCCTCAGCTCCCGCCTCCACCTCCGCCTCTCGAAGCAGCGTCTCAAGCACAGCCACCACCGTTGCCTCCTTCCGCGAAATCAACGAGATGAACCGCCGGCCCGCATCTCGGGCCGGCCCGCAGCAGCGCGTCCCCTGGTCCAACAAAGACACCCACCGCCTCATCCGCCTCATAGAACACCATAACTGCCTCTGGGCGCTCATTGCGAAACGCCAGGTTGCTGCTGCCGGCAATCTTGGAGGTGGGTACGGCGGCGACAGCTTCGAGGAGAGGGAGGACTGCGTCTTTGATCACCCGCGAGACCAGCAAGCTATCCGCGACAAGGCACGGAATCTAAAGGTTGATTTGTTAAAGTATGTTTTCCTTGTCTCTTGTCACTTGACGGATCTATAGTTCACAATGAAAGCCAGGAGCTAATCAAAAAACAACAACAAACAGAGCCGACTTGAACCTCTACCCCGGCTTCGACGGCATCGCCCTCGGTAAAAAGGAACGCCTGGCCCTCATCAGCCGCGGCAAGAACCCGGACCGCAGGGAGGGCGACGTCGACGCGGCGGGAGAGCCCACGCATACCGAGTACGTGCCGCTGGAAAGTGACGACGAAGATGACGAGTTGTAGACGGAAAGGGAAACAACTACT